TTAATAGCGGTCCCAAGAAATGCATTGTCATTTTATTTACAAATCAATGCTACCTGTATAATACAGTAAAAATATCAACAAAATGACATCTTTCTTTTTCCTTCATTTCACTTGAAGCACAGGGTTCAATACTGAAGACCAACACAAAACATTCTTTTTTCTGTAGGCATTTTTTCCAGCTTTTACTTTGGCTTCTGTTCACAGATGAAACAGATTTTTGGTGTTTATACTCATTCACCCAAGACCAAAACAAATGTTAATTAAGAAAAAAACAAACAGAAGTCTCTTGATATCAACTTGATCTGCATAAAGCATTAGTTGGCAATACAAGTGCCACTATAATTTAAAGGGCCTGACATCTAACTGTTCATGTGTTCTTTGTTTTGGAATTCTCTGAGATTCAGAAACGTATTAGAATTTATCTATTTTTTTAACACAGAGGTTAGGTTATGTATTTGAAATTAAGTTACTGTTTTGAGACCAATTAAAACCATTAGGACATGTAGCTGATGAACATACTGCCATTTTTCCACTTTTCTTTCTTACAGACAATTGACTGTAGCAAATCTGTAAATCTGAAAGGACTTAATTAGTATCCAGGGACAGTTTAGTGGTTTTTAATTAACAAAGAGACAATAAATTACTTCAAGGAAAAAAAACCCAAACTAACCAACCTCTCATTACATCCAGATAGGTTTTTTTAAATGGGAAATTCTAGTTAAAGGAATATACTTTCTATTTCTATTACCTTATCACCACTGTAACAGACTGTATCTCTTCTTAATGAGAGAAGACAGAATTAACCTTTCGAGTTTATTCCTCTACTTCCTCCTATTCGTAGAGTCTTGACTCTTCCTTCTTACGCTACATTCAATGTGATCTTTGCTCTCTCTAGTGTTACTGACCATATCCCTTTAGAAGCATCTCTGTCCCTATTTCAGCACGATACAGCCTCCATTTCCTCCTGTGCCAGGTTATGCTGCTTTCCTCATTACAGGCTCCTGAACATGTGAGGCAGGTCTGATCAGCACAGTGTTCTGAGGTCAAAACTGACATGGGGAGCAATAGCCAGATTTCATAGGTTAATCTTCTCTGACTTAGCCATTTCTGCATCATAAAGTTAGGGAGGGGCATTTGCTACCCCTAGTGCATGAAAAGCAACTTCTTTATGTCTTTTCTCAATTTAGTAGCAAGGTGTACAGCTATTCCTCCACAGAGAATACAGGGAGAATGCTTCAGTGAGGGAGACAACTCAGGAACGGCTGTTCTTTGTGGTAATCTTTTAGATGTGCGGATGTTCATTACTGTAAAGGGAGCCCAGGATTCCAAATTTCTCTTATTTCAAACTGGGTTCTAAACATGGACTGACTTCCTCTGTACCACCTTCATACTACCACAATCTCAGATCAAATTGGATCCAAATCAAATACAAATGGTGACAGTCTATTTTGCACATTTCATCATATGGATGTTGTGAAGGCAGCTCTGCTAAAGGCTGAAAGGCACATAAAACCACTATGGAAGACTGCATCTTCACTTATGGATAGTGCCTCGTGCTACATCAGGAAAATGGTCTGCTATCTATTAGAGTCACATAACTGGCGTTCCTTCCTATAAGACAGGAGCATGGGGGTTTGCATACAATTGGACACAATGGTGCTGTCAAGAGGCAGCTGAAGTGTGTACTTGAAGCATCAGTCTCCAGTGCGTTTCTGAGAATGACACTAGAGTTAACATGGGCTTTTACTGACTGCAAAGTGTCAAACAACCACACAGTTTTTTCCGCTTGTGTTTACTCAAGAAAACATATCCTGTACTGAGTGAATGAAGAACATGGACACAACTGTTGTTAGAATGTTTTGAAGTGGGTGAAGTATCTTTCCTTTATTAAAGTAAAACTTTAACAATTCTTTAGAGAATTCATAAAATTGAGCCCTAACGATTAAGATATAGACATTTTTAAAAATAAAAGAAAAAATAAAATCATACTTTCCCTCAGAACAGACCTGCAGTCTTCCAGGGTTTTGGCATATGGGCAACTCCCCATAATTTATTTTGAGAAGAATCCAGACATAGTTTATGCTACCTTTTCTTCTTGTCTATGATAAAAGTATCATCCCCCCTTGTATCCATGCTTATAATGTAATAACAGAAATAAATTAGGTAAATTTGTCCCCCCAAAATTATTAATTTCATCAATTAAAAAATTATCACTGTAACTGCTATACCAGCATATGATTGTCTTCACAGGGGTGTACTGTTGGGTATTTTCCATTCAGATAAAGGAAATCCATAACACTAAAATTATCATAAAATAAGGCATGCATTATCATCCTAAACAACTTTTCAGTAAAGGAGAGTAAAATGTTGGTGATTGAAAGGGAAACAAAGGAGGGGGAAATAAGAATGACACTCATCTTATATTAAGGAATCATTTGCCAAATGGAAGAAACAGATACAAAGAGTGATAAATGTTTTGTCTTTGTTACCTTCATTTTAATGGATTTGAAATTAAACCTTAAATGGCACAAGGAGTCTTACAACTCAATTTCTAAATATTGGCTGAAACTATCATATTTAGCTTCAACCCTAGGTTCACAATTGAATTTTTATCTTATCACATGGTAGGAATAACCTCTTCCTCAGCTGAAATAACTGCTTCCTTTCAAAAGGTTCCTTTTCCTCGTCCTCAAAAAACACTAGTTTACAGTTCAGCTCTAACAAGAATTAAACTCTCCTTCTTTAAGATTGACAGTTATCTGCAAAACAGGCTGCCAAAATTCCTTTGTTTTCAATTCCTAGCAGCTAAAACCAGGGTTCCTCCTGCAATTCTCTCTGAAAAAGCAGATACTAAAATTCCAAACAAATATGGCATCTGTTTTCTAGCTTAACAAATGCCAGAAGCAGCACTAAAATTTAGGTCTTCTATTTCATGGGGCATGCTAGTACATCTTTCAAGTTACCATATTTTTCTTCAAAATTTAAGTTTTGAATAAAATCAAAAGACATAGCTGTTAGCAACTGCTAAGACTGCAGAAAACGCAGATAGAGCGTGACTGATTCATTGACAGCTATGAGCTCACACAAAATTCATCAACTGAAACATGCTTATGAGAATGCTCATGCTAATAAATCCACATCATTTTTATACGCTACCTTGCCAATAGAAATTCTTGTAATTTAGTTAAGATTGTATAATTAAGAAATATGTGTAGTGACACCCCTCCTCCCTCTCTTTGTACATGTGAGCATATCTGCACATAGTCTAATGCTTTAGCCTTACCAGTGCTGTCATCATAAACAACAGTAACGGTTTTCCACTTGAAGAACTGCACAAGGTCAAGGATGGCACGGCTGAGTGAAGAGAAATCTGGATAGAGGCTGACATAGAAGGAGTCCTTGTTGTCTGACACTTGATGTTTCCAGCGGGTCTGGATATGTGGAACACCCAAAGCGTTGCAGATGGATTGCACAGCATTAGCTGAGGAGCTATGGGATGGTCCAAAGATGGCAGCCACCCCAAGGGACAGCTGATCGCAGGCTGAAGAGGAGACAGAAGTCTGTCAATGATGAGAGGAAAGAAGGCAGTGTGCCAGAAAGAATTGCACAATTCATATGAAACAAAAGGCACTCCATGAAATACATTTCAAAACTTTCACTATGAGCTGATGAATAGCAACACTTAACATCAAAATAATGCTCAGCTACATTTAGTAAACACTTCTATGTCAGTGGAAGTCACAAAGGCCAGCAATTCTATATCTTTTAAAAAGCACTGTCAAGGGAAGAGTTTTAAGTTCAGCTGCATCTTATATTTGGAAAAGGGCCATATGGGCCAGTTTTCCAACCTAGGCCATTTAAGCATTAAGTTCTTCCTAATCAATCAACCAACACTATTTCTACTGAGATCTTAATTACTCAGAAATTGTACGTGTTAAGTGGATTTTAGTTAAGTATCAGTCAAATGGTTAATTTCATTGAAATGGACATTTGAGTTTCTGTATCTGAAAGTAGACATGTCGACTAACAAAATTTGAAGGCCAACATTTTCCCTAAAAGAAAATTAAATTGCTATTTGACAAGGAAAAAAATTCAGTGTTCGTTCTTAAACACTGAAAATGCCCAGTTTTGCCATGCCTATATTAGTAGATAAAACTGTCTCTTAAAGTCACTGACATGATACTGCTGCATTTAAGTGATTTAGCACTCCTCTTTCCAATATAGGATGGCCCTGCCCATACAGTTCATTAGCAGTCTCTGGTCTGTATTATCTCCCACTGTATGCTCCTGTGTTGTCTTGTAGAATATTAGTTGGGACATGTCAAAAAAAAGTCAGGAAAATTGGCCAGTATTGCAGAGCGGTATTTCAGCCCATGTCCTGCTCCTGTTTAGATTGCTGCCATAGACATAACTTACTAGTACACAGTTCTGAAAAACAACATATTTGTCTTCTAAGAAAACATCCAGTTTGGTAGAGAGAAGTAAAAATATCTCCTTCATCCAATAAAGATGCAAGTATTTGTATGAGGTTTGATTAATTTATATTAATAAATATTGTTACTCCACCATGAAGGTTCCTGACAGCAGAAGAAACAAGCAGTAGAAACACATCTTGCTGTATTACTTTTCTCAGCAAGTCAAAATTAAGTGCTTTATTGTGTACATCCTTTTCAGCATGATGAAAATACTGCTAAGTCTTTCGAGTGTGTTCCAGAAACTATCCTGCCACACCTTTTTATTACTGCAGAACACCAGCAGTTTAAATGAACTTCTCACATACACCCAGGATCTCCATTGCATTTCTGAGCATCAGATCAGGGCCTAAATGACTAGCTTGATAAAAAAAAACATTTATGCTAATATTGCCCTTCCTAAGAGTAATCAACATGCTTTATGCAAATGTCAGTAAATGGGATCACTAACAACAGCAATAGCTACCAGATGGCTTTTCAATGGGCTTTTTTTTTCCATTTTCTGAGATTTGAATAATGCAACACTTTTGCACGTGACTCAATACAGCACTGGCTCTATCAGACACATACCAATTTTTCTAGTGCATTGAGGAATATTTTGTTTGCATTTACATTATTCTTCACTGAAACAGTATCTTAGAAATATCATCTTGCCTTCAGCTTGCTCTTTCATACAGTACCTTTAAAAACCCATTAATATTTCATCCATATTCAATTTCAAAAGTGTGTGTTACTGAGGTCTAAACAGGCTATTTGTGATGCAGCAGTTGCCTGCTCAATAATGGACATAATCATGAACCACAAAATGAGTCAAAAATGCTTAAACCTCATTGTTAAAACTCTGCTTTGGAGCCATCATAACAAAATGAACCATTTTATGTTAACCTTTAGCCTTAGATTCTGAACTAAAGCACCTGTCAGCAAAAATGTAGTTGGCTATATTGTGAATTGATGAAGCAAAAAGCTATTAGCACTGGAAGATTACAGAGATTTAGATAAAGCCTGACTCATTACAAATAAAAAGTTGTGTTCCCATCCAAGATGCAAGGAGGAACAATGAATATATACAATCTATTCAATATATCCAAGCAATGGTGTGTTGTCATTCCAACTTCAGCTATTATCGTCTATCAAGAATTAGCAAGAATTCAGGCTAGTTTGCACCCTCAAGCAAACCCCAAGTAAGGACTAAAAGTAATTGTATTGTCTCAGGAAAGGCTTAAAGAATTATAGATCACAGGACAAATTTCTCTGTTCTCTACATCCTGCCTAAGGAATGGAGAGAGACTGTCCCACTAAATTTCACAGGACAATTTTCTCTGTTCTCTACATCCTGCCTAAGGAATGGAGAGAGACTGTCCCATTAAATTTCACAGGACAGAATGTGGTGGAATCAGGAAGCAGTTGAATTTGGAAGAGGAGGAAAGGAGAAAGAAGGGGCCAGAATTAAGGATCAGCCCATTCATTCACTGTTGGCCAAGACGGAAAAGAAAGAATAATCTCTCAGAACCTATTTCAATCATCGAAAACACCAGAAAAACAACTCAAAAATACTTCATTAAAAGCATTGCTTGCCTCTTTCTTCTTCCACACACTCTCCTCTGCCAAGGAACCATCTTGATAGGCATAAATTTTTAGCCTGTAATATTTTCATAATTCATAGTATCTTACAATGACTGAACTGTATGTATTTCTGTACAAATATGGACATTATTTTCATGTTTAACAATAGCCTATATTCAAATTATTTAGCAAATAATTTAGCAAATGAATAGATACAACAGGTTAACAAGATAAACTGTATTACAGCAGAAGACAAAAAAATTCTTACAATTTCTAAACTGAATTGTTTTTATCAGTATTATATTCCACTTTTAAGATTAACTTCATGGACAGTCATCCTGACACAGCAGCTTTTCCCTATATAGCATTTCTAATCTACCATCAAATGTTTTTATTCATCTTATATTCACCACAGTAACACCAAAAATCCCTTATTGTGTAAAGCTTTCAGCCTCCAACACTTGGAAGTGGCATGTTGGGACCAGATCACTTGGTAGATTTAGGCTAGAAACCTGTCATAAGAAATGCAGGTTGACCTCTGGTTCTTTCACCTTTCTTATTTTCTTGAGATTGGCTCCTTCAGTTTATAAAAACAGGCTTTTAAAGAAGATGTAATACAGTGCAAAGTTCTGACACCAGGCTTTGTATTTTCCTCTATAAATAAACATAGAACTATATAGAGTTTGCAGTTTCTAGAGTATGACAATGATGCAGTATGGCTTGCATCTATTGTCACAGACTTGAACGTAAACTCATTTGAAAACATCAATTTTTTTACCAATCAAAGATTTGAAATTCAAGAAAAATGTTCAAAATTATTTTTAACTTTTAATTTTTCTTTAATTAAATCATTTATAGTTAGGAGAAAACTGCTGAACTCAGGCCTAGACATTCACCTGATTTAGCAGACTTAATAGTTAGGCCTATTTTTATGTCTTGTTGAGGTAAGATGCACAAACCTGAAACTTCTTGTTCCCCTTTAAAGTCCACACTTGATTAAATACATGAGGCATTAATACATTAAAGGCATTTGTGGAGACGTACTTAAAGTGATTGAATGCTTAAAATGGAATCATAGCCTTCTTCCAAGTTCACTAGAATTTAGGAGCACTTGGCATTTTCCAGAACAAAGTCTGGAAATAGTGTTTTCTCATTCCAAAGGAGCTGGTCTCAAAAACACTCCAGTCACAAAGTTTAGAAAAAATTATTTCAGATTTTAAATATTTAAAGAAATAGCTTTTAGACAAGGGTAGTGAGAGAAAAGGTGGCTATAATTTTCAAGCAGTTACCATTACAGCCCTCAAAGGGTGGTCTTTAAAGCAGTTCTTTGATGTCCGACACAACTTCATACAATCTCATTGCATGTGGCTTTATTGGACAGATATTTTTTCAGGTAGGTGAACTAAGTGAGTCATAGTTTCTCATTAAAATATGCAAAAGCTTACCTTTTTTGGATGCTTCAAAGCTGTCATAGAGATTTATCTTCTGTGTGTCATATGTTAATGTGGTGTTTGGCAGAAGAGTTCTGTTTCTGTTGATTGTGTTCACAGCAAATCTGAAGGCTAATTCTTCTGCCCCCATTGGACCAGATTCCACACACTCAAAAATGCCTCCTGGTAGTGGAAGACAGAAGAAAAAAACAAACCACTAGTAAGCCAAAATGACATACAAGAACATCTTTAATCATCAGTTTAGGAAAAGATTCATGAGCCTGAAATTTTTAACTTAATAAACTCTTGATACAGTGCAACTCTTGAAATTATCTCATTATTTTGGTGAGGTTTGGGTGAAACCATAAATAACCCAGCAACAAATCAAATTTACCTTAAAGAAAACGTTTGGATTTTTTCCATACAACATTCATTTTACTATTGTGAATAAAAATAATGTGGCAATACAGACAAATTGCACTATTTAGAAGCAAAATAGGAGAGGGATGAAGAATATGTAATTATTATTTCACATAGTTCAACTTGAAATTATTACATTTACCCCTTCCAGATCAACTACAACCTACGTGCGTAAGGGTGGGGAGGGGGAGGAGATTTCTGGATTCTTGTTTTCTACTCTTCTAGACTTATGATATAGCTATAATGAACTGGAAAATGCACTGAAAATGCACCATATAGAGGAGCATAGAACTGGGATGCCCCAGCCTGCCTCCAGAAATGGAGTTTGTGAAACTCTGCTGTGCTTCAGCTGCTCTTTTCTCATTATGAGATATGATTGCCCACAAAATGTAAATTTATACATAGTTTGGTGTAACATCATTTATTCTTGGGTCTGGAAAGGCCAAGGACACAGTGACCATAAAAATAACTTGAATTTGTTACTATGGTGACATGGAATGCCTCAGAAAAACGATCAACATCCGTATGATCTCTTTGGTCCGCACGGTAACAATCTGTCTATACCAATGGGCAGCCAACGGCCATCATTTGAGGATCACTAATTACAAGCCAAACATTGGATCTGTGCCAGAAACACTTTTCATCCACTTTCTTCTTGATTTGCTTACTAATTTACAAGGTAATGTTGTCACCTGGCTTTGTATTTTCTAAAAGAAACATGCCACTACTTCCTTAGCAGGAAGCTCTCAGAATCTGAATGTACAGGAACTGAGTCAGACTGAGATTCGCAAACTACAATTAGTTTGTAAACAGTCTTGTTAAGCAGACAAATAGATGAACCATATACAAAGCAAAAAATAAAGTGTATTCAGTTATCAACTCTTTCATCATCTGATATTATTAAATATGAAAAGGCTTCTCAGTTTTGCAAACCTCCTGCCTCTTCCAGCCTGTTTCTCACTCCAGGATGGAGGTGTTAAATTTTTTTCCTGCAGATGAGCCCTTAAATTCCTGGTGAGAGCCCTAGGGGCTGATGCTCAAATAATATTAATTTAAAAGCACAAGGATGAACCACTGAGATGAGATGTGACTAATAATTATTTAAACATTAGCCATTTAAAACTGAGAATGAGGCAGTGATGGGAGAGGCAGATGCTTGAGAAAAGTTTAGGATTTAGTTTCTAGGGAAACAATCCAAACAGATTGAGCATAGGATGTATGTATAGTCAGTAACCAACATTAACAATACTTCAGAAGCTAAAGCATAACAAACTTGGATAACAGTCAGGTAAATATTGGCCTACTACACTTTAAAACTGAAAAAAAATGACCATGTTTATTTGCATGATAATGCAACTTGAAAGGCAACCTGCTGCTTCTGAAATTAATGAAGTGCTCTGTTCAGGAAAACCTAGTCTTATAGACAAGATTTTGTGCTGCTTAAGACTTACAGAATCTAAACATTTAGATCAAACTGTGACATATAGGAGGATCCTATTTTTATTTGAGGAAAATATTTAAAAATTGCCACAGAAAGCTAAAATTAGTTAATAAATCATAAGTATAGAGAGATAAGGAAACAAAAAGATGTTTCCATGAACATAATGAAAATTAAGATAGATTTTACAGGCTTTCCTAAGGCATCTGGAAAGCAGTTATTCAAATATATTTGAATAAATCAGTATCACACAATCAGTTATTTAAAAAAAAAAAGGTTATATTCTAAGTTATAATGGATTCTTAAAGAGAAATAAGCATTGCAAATATCCCTTTCTTCTCCCTGAAATTTTTACATTGGAAGATTTCTTCTTCAATTTCAATGTGTCTGAAGCTCAATATAATCTTTCTTCTTTATTCCTGTATTTTTCATTCTGCTCATCTCTAAATTCTCGAGATGGGGAATTCCTTGTCAAAGATGCAGACACTACTCTGAGCATAAGACGAAATAAAAATAAAAACTTATTTTGACCTCTCTTATCTTGGTAATTCCTAACTGTAGTGACAGGTCATCACATAGTAAGACAATTTTATGAAGATGACAAAGTCTCTGTCTCCTGTGAGTGGCAACAACGTGTAATTTCCCATGTGTACCATTCAGTAGTTTCTTCCCTCACTCACACATTCTCTGTCATCCCCTGCAAAGCTGGCAACATATGGTTTGTCTTCCTCAGGGAAAATTTCCATTCTTAAGGAAAACAAAGGTAGAATAACCTGTTTCTGTTGTCCTATGATTAGGATATTTTGCTTGGAGGAAGGAAAACATAACTTCTGATTCCCTCTCCTGAATATTTTCACATTTACACTAGATCAACACTGAATTAAAAATAAGAACCCTAGAGGAATATAGATTAGACCATATATTTGCAGTTTCCTAGCTGTTATCTAACCTGTAGGATGTCAAACTTCCACTAGGCTCCTTTCATTTCAGTTTTATGCTACTTCTGTATCTCTCTGCTCAAGTTGGGGGGAGGAACATCCCATAGTTAAATATTTTGAATGCTGGCAGGTGTAGGTTCTTCTTAACCTTTACACTAAGAAGACACTCAAATCAACAGGTTCTCAGAGTGCACCGTGTCCTACTAACATGCAAAGCGGCTGAAAACGCCAGGCTCCTCCGTAGTGAATAACAGCCTAATACCGCACACAGGGCATGGCCATTTCTTAATTGAACATGTAAGTAGTTTAAACTGAACTCACACACTAAGCAGAGCAGGAGCTTAGGCAGACACATGTCTGCATTCTGAATATCAGAATATAGTCACAAAACAGCTCCTCATTCTCCAGATGACAGCCCTTTTATGGGTGAGTGGAAATCTATACTTCGGATGTTTTCAGGATGCTCAGCAAAGACATAAATCAGTTTAGACATTGACAAGAATGGGAAGTTTTAAGGGGTGTTTTCTCCATTGCTGCATAAGATACAAGTAAAAACTTATTTGGTAGCTTTAAACTGCTTTAACCTTACCGTTATGTTCCTATATTTCTTACTGAATAAGTAAATAAGAGCAAAAAAATATTTTGAGTACTTTTAAAAAAAATGTGTAAATCCACTGGCTTAATAGTGGGAGACAAGCCACAAATTACACTACTTTTTTTATAAAATGGAAAGGAAATGAATAGAAACTACTAGTTTTCCACTTCAGGTATACTCAGTTATACAGGGATACTGGTTTCCAGAAGCTGTTATAGCACACTGAGTCATGTTGTTCCCTCCCAAGCAGGCTGTTTACTGCTGTTGTGCCTTGTATTCAGGATAGCCGTATTAATAATCAAATTGAGGAATGCACTGCATGCTCTCAGATAAGCAGACAGAAGAGTCATAAATCTTGCCATTGATACGTGGACAAGCAGCCAAGCCAATGCCTATCTCTGTCTAGCAGCTTGAAAAATGCAGGTGTTGAGGTCTGTTTTATTTTTAACACAGCTTATAGACCCATAATAGGCAGAAACGTCAGTTCTTGTATGCGACCAGCAACACATCCTAGAGGAAATGGCTGAATTTTCACCAGTACCTCAAAACAGAGACAGAAAACTTAAAAGTAGTAGTAAAATTTATTCAATGCTTAGGTTGCTTTAAAGCTCTTATATGTGACTTCTTCATTTACAGTGTAAATGATATGGCCCTTCATCTCTGCCCTATAACAACACTAGGGAGTAGGGCATCACACAGCCACAGCTCAATCCGTAGCTCATGAAGTTTTCTTGACTGTGTACAGTAGGTGACCACTGTATAGCTAAACACTTCTTCAAGTTTTTACTGTCACAATAACCACTTAGCAAAAGCTCACTGGATTTTAGTAGTGATCAACACCTGAAGAATCAGAGTGACAAGGATTGTTTAAGACCGGCCAGTCCAAGCCAGATATGCAAGAGCAATTGTAAAACAATCTTTAAATACTGTATCTTTTGCAGTGACAACCAGGATAATTCAGATCTCCTATTAATCTTGATATACTAGAACTGCTTTTACTGAACCTGAAATCCACTAGGATTTTCTTCACAGTTGTCACTATTGAAAAAGCACTTATATGACCAAGTTCTTTTACCATAACCAATAGGGAAAATCCAGTCATCAGTGTAATAATGTCGTACTACAGTTTCTTCAGAAACAGAAACACTGGAAAAAAAAATGATAGAAATATTTTATCAAAAAAGGACAATATGTAGTGCCTAAAATAGTAGGAGTTATATAGATGTCTTTATTATTTTCCAAAGAAAAAGAAAATCTGAAATAATTTTTAAAGCAATTATACAAGTCCAAAAAAAATTTGTTCTGAAATTGTTGAAATGAAAAAGTCTGCATTCTCCACCAAAAATTTTGACAAAGAATTGCTATTTTTGGTTCACAAACGATCTGGGTTTTCTCCAGTTTTCAAATAATTTTCTCAAACACAAAATCCAGAGGAAAAAATAATGTCATCTTGCTACACATCTTGGCAAAAATTACAAAAAAAAAAATAGTCCTGTTCTTAACTGCCTAATTTCACAAATAATAGGATAACCCTTTAAATGATTCAACAGACAATTGAACAGACAACAGACTATTTCCATTGTGGAATGGAAAAACTGCCAAAATTAAGCTATTTTCATAGAATCATAGAATGGCTAGGGTTGAAAAGGACCTTAAAGATTATCACTCCCCTGCCATGGGTTTCTGAATCTTGCAACAGGAAAAAGTTTAAAAATATCACTTGACATAGACTGCTCTGCTTATTTGCCTTTGAAGTCCTTTTTTACGTGGATAAGCCACTGTGGGAAAAGAC